TGGCAGTGGCTCTCCAGGGTCTCCGGTGGAGGCCTTTCACATCACCTACTGCCAGATCCTTTAACTGGAGATGCCAGGGATTGAACCTGGGAACTTTTACATGCCAAGCAGATGCTCTGCCACTGAGCCATGACCCCTCCACACAAGGGTGGTCTTGTCACTTATTTTGATTGTTGCATAATTTGTACTAGCCATAGGGCAATCTGTTTCCTCCCCCCTGCATTTCCCTATGTCAGGCCACCATCATGATTCTCTGCCTACCCTTTTTCATTAAAAAAAATGTTTGGCACATGCATAGAATGGCTCAGAAATAGTACAGTGTTGCAACCTTTTAAAAACTTCCATGCATTTGTACAAAACTGGTAGGGAATAACACAACATCTGAATTGCTCCGGCCCCCATGCAGAAATACCTTTTTACTCTCCCATGTTTATTTGCCCGCACTGCTATTATATTGCATACCAGACTAGCAGAACCCTCCTGCCTTTTCTTAGCTAAGGAATTAATTCCTTGCTAGGCGAAGGCTACATTTCCACAAACAAAAGTTCATTCTCTGCTCCAGATTTCACCAGACACTCGCAACTGTAGGTTTGTTGCACTATAGTGACAGCAAAATCAGGAAGGCCACATTCTCCTGTTGGCTCTTCTTCCTGCTGCTCAACAGGGTAATGGGAAAAAAAATTCCCTAGGGAAATGAGGGGGATCACTGGTGGTGTGTTCCAACGGAGACCGTGCATGTGGTTGAACTGAACACGCGGTCTCCCGAATAGCCCGAGCTTAGCTCCCAAGAACCATGGGTGCGAAGGATCCTAGGAGCAGCCAATTGGCTAATCCGGATCCTCCAGGAACCCTATCAATCATATGATTATGTAAATAAGCCAATCACGGGTGTAGGGGTGTGTTTATTTTATTTATTTATTATTAAGATTTATACCCCGCCCTCCCCGCAGAGCGGGTGTTGGGGTGTGGTTTTTGATGTGCTTTGAAGCAGCCCTCGGGCTTGCCTCGTATCTCTGTTCTGAAATCACTAAGTAAAGTATGAGCAGAAATCTCTGAGAGATGTGTCAGTCTCAGTACTTTACAACTGTCTTAGGTGACCCGGAAGCGATGCCATCATGTTGGGCAATGCTCTAGTAATCACCTTGAATTTTATGGTTAAACCATAAACCAGAGTTTTGGCTGATTGCTAGAGTGTCATCCCTCCATGATGATGTCACTTCTGTGCCAGTAGCGACATCACAACATTGCTGGCAAGGGCTCCCCTCCCAGGTAAGCTTCCTCCAGTTGCCAGTCTTGGGCTGGCAACCAATGCTCCCTCTAAGCTGTGGAGTCTTGTGAGCAAAAATTCTACTTTGTGAGCTACTGGCATTAAAGTTGTGAGTGAGCAATTTGGCTAAAGCATAAATTAGTTTGCTCTGGAGCCATCCTTCCTAAGCTAAGAAAAAATGTATGAGCCGGAGGCTAAACAACTGTGAGCTAGCTCACTCCATCTCAGCTTAGAGGGAACACTGCCAGTGGCAACCCTAACAATGATGCTGCCCAGATAAAACAGTATTTATGGGTATATAGAAGGAGGGAGAAGGGGCATTCCATTTCATTGAAATCAGACCAATGGGTTGAAATTAAATCAGAAGAGTTTTGGGCTAAACATTAGGAAGAACTTCCTGACTCTTAAAGTGGTTCCTCAGTAAAACAGGCTTCCTCAGGAGGTGGTGGGCTCTCCTTCATTGGAGGTTTTCATACAGAGGCTAGATGGCCATCTGACAGCAATGCTGATTCTGTGAACTTAGGCAGATCCTGAGAGGGAGGGCAGGAAGGGTTGTATCAGTGCTTAGTTCTCATGGTCCTTTCATACCTGCCCAGGGAAATGCTGATCACTACTTTGGGGTCCTGGAGGGGGTTTTTTGGCCATCTTCTGGCCATGGAGCAGGGGTCACTGGGGGTGTGGAGTGGGAGGTATTTCTTTTTTTTTTTGAGCCCCCCATAGGGGATTTTTTATTGCATTTTCTATAAATTACAAAGAAACAAGGGAGGGAAGCTACAAACTACGGGAGAAAGTAAAGCAAAACACCTAAAAATCCAAGAGATGGTGGTCATTTACAAAGCTTACAAAATTAACTTATAGGTAAAAATGCTTATACTTTGCTACATTAAGTGAGTACACATTTCTTCTTGCTTGTACTAGAGTCTCCAACAACATTTATATAAAGATCTCTAAAGAGAAATAAAGTTTGTTTAAAACAGGATCTAGAGAACAATTATAACTAATTTTTTGTCCTTTTTATTTCTCAGTCGATAGCTTGTTTTAGGAGCAGCTGCTCCCAGTTCCAAAGCTGAGTCCTCATCAGAGGATGCCTGGCCTCCTTCTTCACTTTCCTTGCTGCTGCCTTTTTCTTTATCCTCTTCCTCTGCTGGGCCGGCTTGTCATTGTGGAAATTCACGTGCCTTTACAACAAAGTCAATTTTTTCTTTCTTGTCTTTAAATTTGAAGAGGATGACTTCAGGGAGATTCCATCTGTAGGGGACATTGTTTTTCTGTAAAAACAGTGCCAAGTCTCTATATTTCTTTCTCTTCTTCCTTATTTCAAATGTAATGTTCTTCAAAACTTTTATTTCTTTGCCTTTGATTTTCAGGGTAGCTCCGTTTGTTGCTTTCAGTATTTGGTCTCTCACTTGTCCCCTGGAGAATCTCACCACAATCTCGCCGGGCAGATTATTTTTCCTTATAAAGTCAGAGTATGATCTATAGATCGTATTATTTCGCCTTGTAGAAAGTCCGCTTTTAAATCTGTAACCAGACCCAATGCATCACAAATAATCTGCTTCAAATCTCCTTTTGATTCAGGAGCTCCCTGGAATCTTAAGACATAGCTTGCCTTTTCCATTTGCAGCTGTAATAGTTGAACCTCATCAGTTGCTCTCTTTTTTCCCATCACCTGCATTTGGTTTTTAAGCTTCTGGGTGTTGGCATCCACTTCTTTCAGCTCTTGTCCCACTTTCTCTGTTTTTTTAGACGTCTCATTTAACTGGTTTTGTTGTGCATCGAATTTCACATGAAGCGATTGCATTTTTTCCAGCAGAGGGCGCAAAGCCTCAGTCAGCATATTCTGGAAGTCTATGGTATTGTCCTGTCTAGGGACAGAACTTGCTGGGCTGGCATTTCCGGCAGGAAACCTCAGTTTCAGTTGTTTATCCTTCTCCTCCCTCCTCGGAGGCGCCATGTTTGAGAGTTGTTTACTTTTTAGAAAAAGTTACAAAAGTCTCAAAATCCTTTGATGCCGCTTGGTAAGTTCTCAAAAGTTCCTTATTCTAGTCAAAACAGCTTTATATTCCATCCTCACCTTATATTTCATTTGTCAGTTCAGCTTTTTTCCTTTCAAGGGGGAGTTTCCCCCCCCCTGATTTGGTTAAGGGGGGACTTTCAGCTTGGTTTCTGGTGTCTTTGCTTATACCATCACTCACTTTTCAGCGTAGAGCTTGCCTTTCACAATCACTCGCCTGGCCACCAAGCGCTTGTCCTGGTATGCGTCCCTGTGTCCATTTATGGAAATCAGCAGCGGGACCATCAGGGCAGGGGACCGGCCTCCCTTCACCGGCTGTTTGCCGGAGGAAGGACCATCCAAGCGCCTCATGGCTAGGAGCCCAACGCAAGGGCTTTGAGGGGGATGCATACCATCGCATCCCCTCCCATCTGCTGATTCAAGGCACACGTCTCCCAGAGCTCCGGGAAAACGTGGCCGCCATTAAGGGAGCCAAAGCCAGAAACCGAGGGTGAGGTATTTCTATATGTCCTGCATTATGCAGGGGGTTGTACTAGATGACCCTAGAGGTTCCTTCCAACTCTATGATTCTAATAAAAAAACAAAGCAAATCCTGCAATATGGGATTGTGGAAACTGAGAAAAAGTCCATGTGGAATCAACCCATGTCAGGTGGATGCCAAGGTAGAAAAAAACTTCTGTGCAAATACACCAAAATGTTAATGAAAGTATACTCCATGCATTTAATTACGATCCAGGGGTAACTAAGAACATTCCATGAATTAAAATGTTTAAATGTAGATTTAAAAATTAGCACAATTTCAGCTTATTTTGGTCACAGCACATCCTGAATTGTATATAAATTTGTGTATAAATTTCACCTGCAGTGTGTCTTGCATTTTTAAAAAAATATTTGAAAGAAGAGAGGATGGTTCTTGAGTGGTGTAATAATAAGGACTATTCCCCATGTGTTATTACATTGCACTTAGGGTAGATAGATAGGCAGGGTGGGGGGAGAGGCAACCGAAGACTCCCCTCCCTCCCCCAAGAGCCAAGGAAGAGCCAAGCAGGCTGCATCTTCCCTGCTTCCCTCCCCAGGCCTGAAAGGCTTGCCAGAGAGATAACCTAACAAATGGCCAGCTAGCAGACTTTTGTTTAGGTGGCAGAAGGGTCAGGGAGAGGCTGGTGGGCTTCTCCTTCTGCTGCAGTGCCCTTGGGAAGAGGGAAGCTGCTGGCAGGAGGAGCCATGGAGGGGAAGGGCCAGCCAGGCAGCCCGCTTCGCCTGTGCCTTTAGCGGCTGCTTTTGCCAAGCACTCTCTGGGGAGCCTGAACTGGCTGAAAAGGATGCTGATGAGGAGGGGGGATTGGCCTAGGAGAGACCGGAAATGGGCATGGGGGAAAATCTATGGGGAGACTTCTTCTTTTAAATTAGCTCTGGCTTGGAAATGAACAAAGAATATAAATTGCCACAAAACCACTCTTGAAAAGCCCAGGGTAAATGCAGGCTGAAAGCGATCTGGGTACCAAAGGGGGGGGGGAGTCAGTGCAGAATGAGAAAGAGAATACAAATGGAATGCTCGGTGAGAGTGCGGAGGAGTGCAGAACAAAAAAACAAACGACTGGAGATATGCAGGGTGAATGTGAGGGAAATGACAGTGCAGAAAGGGCCTTGATAAGGGACATCTGGAAAGGTCCTTAGACATATATCTTGCTCTCTGTTGTAAAGCAAAGAAATCATTACCTTGTGGAACCAAGTGGACCACATATCCATTGCTTATATAGATGGCCCAATGTTGGCATTCAGGCTGAAAAATCTCGATCAAGTCTCCAGGCTGCGGATTCCCCTGCAAAAGCAAATAGAAGCCTTGGGAGTCAAGAGTGATGTAAAATGGGTTGCGTCAGAGTTTTAATAAAAGTGCTTGCTCCCAGGAGGGAGGGTCTCTTGTTGCTGGTCCATGGAAGAGGACAGACTGCTGAACTCTGGTCAGCAGGCCAGTGGCCATCTTGAACATGCTGCTGGGCCTGGCTGTCTAGCTGGATGCAGGATGCCTGAGGTAATGAGACATCCTTAGAACCTTTTGTAACTTTCTAAGCTTGGAACTGCCTGCTCTACTTCAACATCTAGTAGAGTAAGTTGTAGAACCAGGGACAGAGGATATGATTATGCCCAACTATTATTCGTCCTTCTGGTTGCAGATCTGCTGCTGCGCTAAAAGTATGCTTGTAACCTTTTTCTCTTTTTAATAAATATTTCACTCTTTGAAGCTTGTAGTATTCTCTGGACCACATATTTCCCCCAGCCACCTTAGACCATGCTACCTTAAGAGGGGAGTCCCAGGAAGGGGGAAGGCAAGCAGTCAAGGCACCTCTTGCCAATTCTCCAGTTCTTCCCCAGAAGGAATTTGGTCCCTATGGTAATCAAAATCACATCTATGAAATTACAGTCCTTCAAGATTTTAGCGCATTGGTACCTCACACCTGTCAAATTATCACTCATGACTCATGCGTATAATCCAAACTGCTGGAAAAATTGTGGTATCAGGGGAACTTACTTACATTGCTGGGTAACCTGTCCCAAAATTTTACCTTTCTGGGAAGAAATCTTACTACAAATAACATCATTTCATAACATCGATATTACTCCCACTCCAGAAAACCTGTTTTTGAACAGATGGGTAGATCATAGCCTTGCTCCTTCGGTGGTGGTCTCCATATTACTATTTGCGGCTAAAACGGTCATTTCCTCCCACTGGAAATTGACAATGACACCCACAGTTTCACATTGGCACAAGAAACTATGGGATTTATACATCATGGCAAAACTCTCGGATAACCTTACGCGACTTGACAGGATTCCTACCCCTTCCTCCTTTGTAACTGTTTGGTTTCCAATTCTAGAGTACCTACAACAATTTGAAGACACACCCACAGTGATTGATACATTACATTTATGGTAAAAACCTAAAACTCATTATATGTACTTTTCAGCATAATCTCTATTCAACTCGGAATTTAGCATATAATTATAGTGCAGTATTAACATGACCTACTATTTTATGTACATCAAAAGCTCTCTGTGCGCAAAGTTCAATGTATACCTATATGTATTTGTTATTGTGTTGTTGTTTTTTATGGTTCAATCTACTATTGTTAAATTGAAAACCAATAAAATGCGTTTCACAAAAGAAGGGGTGTTAGTTTGTCCCTCCTGTCAGGAAGACCCCAACAGGACAGTGGTGGCAGCATATCCTAGTGGAAGGAAGTGGAATAGCACCCTCCAGGAATTGGCACAAGCCAAGGAGGAGGCTGACAGAACAGGGTCTCTAAGTCAGAGCAAGCCCATTCCATCACACAGTTGAACACCAGACTGGTTTATTTTGAGAATTCTCTAAGGGAAAAGTTTTGGTATACATTAGTGGAGATCCCAGTTACCCGCCTCTTGCTGTGTCTCTGACCAAGCTAATTTCCACCAATTAACTAGATCACCACTTTGGGTAACAATAGGTGCCCATGGTACAGGGCTGCTGGGAGCCAGAGAACTAGAGGAGCTGTATAGAGATGGACACAAACTGGGAAAACCTGGCTCGGGTTCAGTTTTGGGTGTGTTCCAAAACTTATCCCAGCCCCTCTGCCAAACCAAACTAGTTTGGGATGTGGCAGAATGATAAGCGACACAGGGCAGTTCTGTACAGCAGCCTGAATTGGCTTAGGCCTCTCTATTTGGTTCTCTCCCATAAGGCTTTGCAGGATGTTTTTCACCCTGACAATGCACCCTGCACTCTGCTCTAAAAGAACTGTTTACATTTCTGAGTTCCAGCCTGGAAGCCAAAACATCTAGATAGGCCTTGACAGGGAGAGTGTTTTTAACAGAGCAATTCTGCATCTAGCATTTGATCCACAAAAAAGTGCAGCTCAAAACCACATCCAAATACCTTGGGGCAACTCTGTACTGACTGCAGAGTCACTCTTGAATGGCCATAAAACGGTCATACATCTGTGCAGAAGGTACAATTAAATCCGATGATCAAACAACTCGAAAGTGGCATGGACTGTGAACCATAAATCCTGATAATCAAAGGGAGTGAAACCAGCATGCAATGCAGAGGGGAATTTCAGGTCTGGGTCTTCTAGTCAGAAAGGGGAAGAGTCTGGGTTTCATCAGGACCATCCAATTCCTTGATTGACAGTTAATCTGGATTCTAAAGGTATTTAACAGCAGTGTCTGCAGATGCTAGGGGCCCTCTGCCAACACCGTGGTTAGGTCTGGCTAGAGACTGTTAGATGGATCTGTAACTGGTTGACAGACTGCACCCAAAGAGTGCTTGTGAATGGTTCCTCATCTTCTTGGAGAGGTGACAAGTGGAGTGCCTCAAGGATCTGTCCTAGGACCTGTTTTGTTCAACATTTTTATCAATGATTTGGATGAAGGGATAGAGGGAATGCTTATTAAATTTCCAGATGATACTAAATTGGGAGAGGTAGCAAATATGGCAGAGTCAGGATACAGGATAATTTTGACAGGCTGCAAAACTGGGTTAAAACAAAATGAATTTCAATGGGGATAAATGTAAAGTTCTGCGTTTAGGTAGGAAAAATCAAATGCATGGTTATAGGATGGGGGAGACTTGCCTTGGCAGTAGTATGTGCGAAAAGGATCTAGGGGTCTTAGTAGACCATACATTGAACATGAGTCAGCAGTGTGATGCGGTAGATAAAAAGGCAAATACCATTTTGGGTTGTATCAACAGTAGTGTTCAGATCACGTGAAGTGATGGTACCACTTTACTCTGATCTGGTTAGACCTCACTTAGAGTATTGTGTTCAGTTTTGGGCACCACAATTTGAGAAGGATATAGACAAGCTCTGTCTATCAAATCTAGTCCCTTAAACCTATTCTTCACCTCCACTGTATATTCATAAGAGATGTGATCTAGGTCAAACCTGAATGGTCTAGTGGTTTTCCCAACTTTCTTCAGGTTAAACCTGAATTTTGCAATGAGTAGCTCATGATCTGAGCCACATTCAACTCCAGGTCTTGTTTTTACTGACTGTATAGAACTTCTCCATCTCTGACTGCAAAAGATAATCAATCTAATTTCGATGTTGCCCATCTGGTGATGTCCATGTGTAGAGTCATCTCTTCGGTTGTTGGAAGAGGGTGTTTGCTATGACCACCATGTTCTCTTGACAAAACTCAGCCTTTGCCTGGCTTCATTTTGTTCTCCAAAGCCAAACTTGCCCCTTATTCCGGTTGCCTTTTGACTTCATACTTTAGCATTCTAGTCCCCTATGATGATAAAGACATTTTTTTGGTGTGTGTTAGTTCTAGGAGGTGTATAGACAGAGTGCCTGAAGAACTATGGACAGACGTTTGTGACCTTGTATGGGGGGGGGGCAATTTTGGTGTGGCAGCAGTGGACCAGCTCCTGGAAAGTTCCGAGAAGCTGTGCTGGATTGCCAAGCTTGGAGGGTTTAAACTCTTATCCAAGCCCGCATGGACTCCCCTGAAGAGGGGTCCTAAGCAAGAGGTTTGATCCTGGGTTCTCCGCAAGCGGATTGAGCCCAGATTGCGCCGAAGCACAAGCCTGTGCAAGAGCTACTGAGGCTTCCCCTAAGCTGCAGAGCCGTGAACACAGGACGAGGGGATACGGCGAGCTCTTCAAGACCTTATAAGATTCAGCAGAAACATCACCATTGTGAGTACTTCTTGAAATAACTTTAGTGAAAAAGAGCTGAGAACTGAGAACCCTTTTAAAGGAAAGTAAAACAAGAGATCTGAAGGGAGAAAGGGATTCTCCCCCCCCCCTTCTGAAGCGGCTGGGCAAAGAACTGAATTTGGCACTTGAGCTGCTTGTAAAGGGCTGAAAAGGAGCTGGAAGATTTCTGGGACTGTCAGCCTTAGACATAAAAATAATATTTTGAAAGACCACTGACCCTATGGATTACAATATAATTCTGATGGATTAACGGTTAATATCTCCACTTACAGAATCCATGAGATGGATTGACTCTATAAAGGAAGCCATGGCTCTCAGTTTGCAAGACCTGAGCAAAGCTGTTAACGACAGGATGTTTTGGAGGACGTTAATTTATAGGGGTACCATAAATTGAAACCCCAATCCTCAGCCCACCCCAGGATAGTTAATTTCTAGAAGATCCATTATACTTACTTCTGGCATCCAAAACATGATTATTTGTATTCGGATCTTCTGTTGATTTTATTTTCGTTTCAGCCCTCAGATTTTCAACTTTCACGATCTTCAGGTGGGTTGGACTTCCCTAATGTAAGAACATAAGAACATAAGAGAAGCCAATGGCCCATCCAGTCCAACACACTATCACACAGTGGCCAAAAATACCAGGTGCCATCAAGAGGTCTACTAGAGGGCCAGGATAGTAGAAGCCCTCCCACTGTTGCCCCCCTCAAGCACCAAGAATACAGAGCATCACTTGCCCCAGACTGAGAGTTCCGATCTATACCTTATGGCTAATCCATATGCCATCTGCTCCATATGTTTATCCAGTTCCCTCTTGAAGCCATCTATCCTAACCACCATACCTGGAACTCATGGGTGGTTCACAGTTTTGGATTTTAAGGATGCATTATTTTCTGTACCACTGGCTCCTGAGAGCAGGCACCTGTTTGCCTTTCAATGGGAAGACCCCCAGACGGGCCGGAAAGAACAGCTCCAATGAACAGTACTTCCCCAAGGCTTTGTGGATTCTTTAGCTGTATTTGGAAAAGTTCTGGCAAAGGACTTGGCAGAGTGGCCCGCCCCCAGGGAGACACGCCTCCTCCAGTATGTGGATGATTTGCTGAGAATGAGTACCTCCAAAGAGGCTGTTACTGAGGCAACAATTTCCTTGTTTAACTTCTTGGCCAACAGAGGCTACAGAGTGACACAAGGCAAAGTACAAGTCACCCAATCTTCTGTGGTCTAAGGGAAGTCGCCGGATACTCCCAGAACAAAAAGAAGCTATGTGTTGTGTGCCATTGCCTACTACTAAGAAACAACTGCATAGTTTTCTAGGTCTCTCAAGTTTCTGCAGACTTTGGATTCCTGGCTACGGAAAACTGACCAAGCTGCTACACCAGAAGTGCTGTGAGGGAGAACCTGTTCCCCTTGAATGGACAGCAGAAGACCGCAAGACATTCGAGACCTTGAAGAAGACCCTCATGGAAACTCCAGCCCTTGCACTACCTGATCTGGAGAAGCCCTTTGAACTTTTTGTCCATGAGAACCAAGTTGTAGCCTCTGCTGTACTCACCCAGAAGCTGGGAAGAGACTTGAGACCTGTAGCCTACCTGTCCAAGCAACTAGACACAGTGGCTCAAGGATGACCAACGTGCCTGCGAGCAGTTGCAGCAACAGCCATGGCAGTTGAAGAGGCAAGAAAATTTACCCTAGAACAGCCAATGAAGGTAATGGCACTGTCCACATTCTGTAGCCACTCTTCTACAACAAAGAGGGGCAAAGTGGCTTACCAACTACAGGCTTACGAAGTATGAAGCCCTCCTCATTGGAAGAAGTGATGTGACTTGACAGTTGCTATCATATGAATCCAACAACTCTACTTCCTGTAGAACAAGAAGAAGCTAGACTACATGAAGGTCTATCCATGGTTGATGACAATTCTCCCATCCCAAATGCAGAGCTAGAATACTTTGTGGAATGTTCCAGTAGACTGGTGAACAGAGAATGGAAGACTGGTTATGCAGTAGTCACCGAATGGAAAACCATTGAAGCTTAACCATTACCTTTATTGTGGTCTGCACAAGCAGCCAAGCTGCACGCCCTTTCGCAAGCTCTTAGGCTGGCTAAAGGACAAAGAGTGAACATTTATACTGATTGGGTCCATGCCTATGGCATGCTGTGGAGAGAAAGAGGATTTGTCACAGCAGCCGGAGACAAGATAGTGAATGGTCCCCAAGTGTTGCAGCTACTGGAGAACCTGATGGAACCAGCAGAAGTCACTGTAATCCACATCAGAGCTCATCAAAGGAGGCCCTCTTCTGAAATCCGAGGAAATCATCAAGCAGATGAAGCATCCAAGGCAGCAGCTGTGCAACCAACAGAAGGTGCCTCACTCCAGTGTGCCCTCGTACCTCATATCAGCTGGCCTAAAGATCCACCCTACACCCAAGACGAAGAAAAGATGGCAAAGGACAATGGGGCAAGGAAGAATGGTGAAAGATGGTGGATCACCATGGATGGAAGAGTCATCGTACCCTGAGGTTGCCTACGACAGATTCTGAAGGACTACCATGCATCCACCCACCTAGGAGGGAATGCTATAGCAGATGCATTACTACAACACCTAGTACCACCTGGTATGTACCAAGCAACAGCCCAAGAGGTGGCTCAGTGCCTCATTTGCCAACAAGTAATTGCAAGACCAGGGTGACCCACTGTTCCAGGTGCCAGACAATGGGCCATGAGACTCTTTCAAGCATTACAAGTGGACTACACTGAGGTACCTAGAACACAGAGGAAGAGGTACCTATTAGTTATTGTGTGTGTTAACTGTTTAGTCCAAAGCCTATGTATATTCCGCCCCAACAGCTAGAAATGTAGCCAAGGCACTCCTGAATGAGATTGTACCGTGCTTTGGTCTTCCAGAGACTATAAATTCAGATCGCAGCAGACATTTTGTTGCAGAAGTAATTCAACAGGACTCTCAAGTATTGAACATCAAATGGGACTTGCATACTGCCTGGAGACCCCAGTCAAGTGGCCAAGTGGAACAAATGGACAAGACTTTGAAAGCTGTCAACTAAGATTTGTACTGAAACAAGCTTTTCCTTTGGACCTCACCCGCATTTGAGCAGCTTCTCAGGGAAAGTTAGGACTCACCATTTGAATTGGTTTATGGGCATCCCTTTATGGTTGGGATTCCTAAGGGAAGGGTGACTTTGGAAATTAGTGATCAAATGTTAAAAGAATATGTTATTGCCCTGCAGTCTGTTTTGTTTACTCTCCACAGGTGTGCTTTCTCTCAGTAGCCTTTACCCTTAGACGCTCCTGTCCATATGGTTTAGCCTGGTGACTGGGTCTACGTAAAGATGTGGAAGAAGGGGCCATTGACCCCAAAGTGGAAGGGGCCATTGCAAGTGTTGCTGACAGCTCATGCTGCCATAAAAGTTGAAGGCAACATAGGCTGGGTCCATCACACCCGATTTTTTTAGCGGTTCTAGTGGAAGACCCCAACAACCCAGAAGGAAACAAAGGAGCTACAACAGATGACATTACAACTGGAGAGGGGTGATGCAAGATTTGACATGGCACATCAGGCCTCTCAACAAACTAAAGCTACTGTTCAAAAAGGTCCACTTGTTCTTCCCACACCCCAGGAGTTGTGGGGCTTGTATGATCAAACTTTTTGTAGAAAAGGATATTGGATTGAACATGGCTATTGGAGAATTTGCCCACATTAAACATGTAGTCTTACCCTAAGTATCAATAATCCTTATGGGGTTGCTGAAATGATCTGTGTATTCACGTCTTGGGAACTTTTTGATAACTGGGAAACTTATGTAGAGTCTTCCTATACACATCCAAGGATGTAAAGGAAACAAAAGGGTGATAACTGGGAAACTTATGTAGAGTCTTCGTATACACAGTGTTTGAGAATCCAAGGATGTAAAGGATACTGAATAGGACTTAGCAAATTCTTTCAGCGAGGCAGCCCAAGATGCTATTAACATGTAGCTCCATCCCAAACATAGATGTCAAGTGGCCAGAGCCTCCCCTGAACATAAAGTGGTTTAATATCAGGGAGTGGTGGGAAAAAATGGATATTCTTGTCACTTGTGCTAGAATCCTGGTTCCATACAATATGCTACAAGCTACACAGATCTTATGCTCGGAAGTTGGCAGAATCTTTAAAACTCAAGTTAGAATGGGCAAATGTTAGCCAGAATCATAGATTTGTGCTATTGTATCCAATGTATTCCAAATGTCATAAATTTGTGTGTGAACCTTTGCAAACGCCCTCAGCCAATCGCTAAGCAATATTACATAGCCCTTCAACAACAATCTGTTGTTTACCAACAGCAAGTGAAGGTAAACATCCAGGAATGACCCAGGAAACAGAAGCGTCAGTTTTGAGTCAAAGGGGGGATTTGTAGAGGAAGCTCAAAGGTTCAAATGATAATCTATTGATCACTGTTGGGATTTTCCAGGAACAAGCTGACAAATCGTTACACACTAAGCCGAATTGTAGAAACAGGTGTTTTATATCATATTTAATGGTCAGAGAAAGAAATTTCTGAATGAACAGGTGTCTTAGCACCGAGAAGTCATCAGTCCACTTTTAATTAGGATGGTATGGTTCACCACAATAACAAGTTGTCATAGTGGAGAATTATGTTCAAGCTCTCTACTTCAAAGAGATGGGTTCAGAAATTCACAATGGTTTAATTTTAAATAAGGAAAAATTAAACTAAATTCTTTTTTTAAGTTTGCATTGAGTTATTGGAATCTATAAGCAATATACCTGCCTTTTAGCGGCTTATTATTTTTATATATAAATTTTTAATTAAATTTTTCAACATAAACAACAGTAAAACGAAACAATCTTAACAAGAGATTTTTTCAAAATAAAGTCTTGATATAAAATTAAATTATTGTAAGAATATAGAAATCATTCAAAATTAACAATAATAATAACTAGCAATAACAACAATTTGTTTAATACGAAATTATATCAATATATTTTTCAGGGAGGCTACAACTCTTGTTTTCTGAATTATTGACAAAATCAAAAAAGGGAAACCATTTTTCCAAGAATATGTTCTTCTTTGATAATATTTCAGCCATCCAAATTTGCGATGCTAATTTATCCATAACTGTTAAATCCCATACCTTAATAAACCATTGGCGGATCGTAGGAGCTTTGTTAAGTTTTCAGGTTTGTGCAATCAAAGTTTTTGCAGCACTTAGTAAAAGTGCAGCTAACTCCATTTTTAATTTAGTTAGCCATAAAGAAGGCCAAAAATTTAAAAGAATAGTTTCCGGGGTTTTAGGAAGATCACAATTAAGAATTCTATTAATCAGATCTATAATTTTGGACCAAAATTTTGCAATGATGAGACAATCCCACCAATAGTGTTTAAAAGAACCTTTCTCTCCGCATCCCTTCCAACAAAAAGGGGGCAAGGAGGTATAAATATGAGAAAATATTTGGGGTGTCATATACCAATGTGTATATAATTTGTAATTTTGTAGTTTGACATTTAATAAAGACT